TAATAGCCTATTAGCTCCATGTGATACTCCACCAAGTAACATTGAAACATACAACTAGCAAACTGCGGATGATAAATAAATATGATCAAACACAACATTAGCCTAAACTAGCAAAACTAAATGGTGTAAATATAATATCATTCCATCGAGACACAAAGTTCCTAAAACAGACTAAGTGGAAGACTAAGCACAGTTATAAATAAATATTGGTGAGTTCTTAACTAATAAACTTAAAATCTAAAGAGGTATTAATAAAAATATACTACTATTGTTTCACCTACATGTTATAAAGATTATATTCAATCATTAATTTAAACTATTAGCGAGTAATATGTTCTGTGCTAAACTTTATCAATTCAACCTGGACAGAATCTAAAATAAGTTGCAAAGAATAAAGGACATGGAAATATAATTTATTAAAGAAACCAACTCTAGACCTTGAATATTAAAACTTCCAGGTGGATTATTAGATTTGAATTCTCTTGGTGAATATATTAAAGACAGAGACAAATGATAAGAAAAACTTGGACATTGCTTTGAAGCTTTAGGCGTATGAAATTCCTTAAAACAAATCAAAATCTCATCTCACAATTACAACGATACAAATTGAACAAAATCATTCCATGATTTTTTTATAAAAATCAAACAAAAGATAAACTAAGAATAATATGCCCATACCAAGCTAAAAAAAAATAAAAAAATCACATAAACAATAAGAGAGGAAAAGAGATGAACCTTAAATAGCAATCCAAATCGGACGGAAGTGTGAACTTGAGCGGACCTCGAATCGGCAAACAGAGCTTCGACTCAACACCTTGAACTTAATTCAACTCCACGAGAGAAGATCAAAATCAGAAACTAAAGTGTATTTTTTTTTTCCGGATTTGAGGAGCAAAAAATGAAATTAAAAGGTACTAAAATTGTAGGGATTTTTTGATTCAATACTACTCTACTATTGAAATCTAAACCTTTTTTTTTTTAAAGTTAAAAGAATTTTTTTTTTGGAAATTTTCCTCCAAATAATGAAGAACAACTCCTCTTTTTGATGAATTCTTAGGAACTTTTTAATTCCAATTTCTCTCCCCTAAGCCTTGAAATCTTCTCCCACTTTCTTTTGTGCCAAATCAGTGCTCTTTATGTGAATGAGCAAGAAGAAAGAAAAAATGGATTATAATCGTGTGGACCTCCTTTCTCAAACGCGAATCTGCACTATATAGTGGAAAAATATTTATGAATGGTGAGGGAACTAATTGAAATATAGGGACCAACTAAAATTTGTTACACAAGAAAACAAAATTCAAAATTGGTAAAGAAAATCTTTTCTCTTTTTTTTTTTTTAAAAAAAAAACAGAAAAAACAAAATAAATTCCCAAAGAGGTCCAAATTGTTCATTTGGTTTCCTTTGCATTTTTTGCTTTTCCCGTTATCTTCTTCTACTTCTTCGTTTCTTTTTCTTTGGTCTTAATTGGTTTTTTTTTTCTTTCATTTTTTAAGAGATTAACCAAAAATACTAGTTATCTAAAATAATATGAAATATTGACAAGAGAATAAGATAGCTATATATGAATACTATTTGATATTTATTAGAGCCTACAACTTTAATACTAAACTAAATAAAAGTATTTTTGAAAGTTTTCTTCTTATCTTTTGAAAAATAAAATGTCAAGAGTAAAACTAATTAAACAAAATATCAACTAGCTAAAATAAAGAAAAATATTTTTTTGTAGTTTTAATTTTTAAGATTAAATAAAGCAAAAACTTTAATATAGTCAAAATAGCGATATTAGGCTTAAAACCAACATCGAAGCACTAAAAGATATAAAATTTCGGGGAGGGTCAAAATTACATGTCTACAGGCCCATGTCTTGGAATTCATTACAAGTTACAAAATTCGAACACTCATCCAAGCACGAGTCTAACCATACAAAAATTACTCAAATCCGATAACAACTCGACCTTCAAATCCTCAAATTAAAAGCCTAGGAAGTTTCTACAACTTTTTCCAAATTTTCAACCAAAAACACTAATTAAATGAATAAAATAATGATATATTCATGTAATTTAACCAAATTCGAGTTAGAATCAATTACCCCAATCACTCCCTTAAAAATCTCTCCAAGAATCACCTCAATCCGAGCTCCCAAAATCAAACTATGAAATATGACTCAAACCCTCATTTTGAATTCTTTCATTCTGCCGAGACGCCCCTTTTTAGCGATCGCGAAGCACAAATTCACAGGCTTCCCAATTTACTCTACATGAACGCGGCATCCCACGCGCGAACGCGGTACACTGACTTCCCAGACCTACGTGATCGCAAACATCACCATGCGATCGCGAATAACAAATTCGCGTGAACCCAACATCATCTTTTCCTCTTCATGAACACGACCTTAACTCAAAAGGTCAACCCCGGGCCCACGTCTCAGAATCCAACACAAGTTATAAAATCCGAATACCCATTCAACCAAGAGTCCAACCATACTAAAACTACTCAAGTTTGATCACAACTCGGCCTTCAAATCCTCAAATTAAAAGCCTAGGAAGTTTCTATAATTTTCCCCAAATTTTCAACTCAAAACACTAATTAAATGATGAAAATAATGATATATTCATGTAATTTAACCAAATTCGAGTTAGAATCACTTACCCCAATCACTCCCTTGAAAATCTCTCCAAGAATCGCCTCAATCCGAGCTCCCAAAATCAAATTATGAAATATGACTCAAACCCTCGTTTTGAATTCTTTTATTCTGCCGAGACTCCCCTTCTTCGCGATCGCGGGAAATGCTTAGCGACTGCGAAGCACAAATTCATAGGCTGCCCAATTTACTCTACACAAACGCGGTATCCCACGTGCAAACGCGATACACTGACTTCCCAGACCTACGCGATCGCAAACATCATCACGCAATCGCGAATAACAAATTCGCGTGAACCCAACCTCCTATTTTCCTCTTCGCGAACGCGACCTTATCCACGCGTTTGCGATTCATTGCCTATCCAACTTAGCGAACACGTAGAACAAAAATCCCTGTTGGCCCAACAATACTTCGTCTTCGCGATCGCGATCCTCCTCTCACGATCGCGTACAAGGACACCAACACCAGCAAAATCAGCAATCTTCCAAGTTCCAAAATGCGCCGAACATGATCCAAATTACACTCAAGGCCCTGGGGACCTCAACCAAATATACCAACAAGTCATAAAATACGATATGAACTTAGTCGAGGCCTCAAATCACATCAAAAATATGAATCGCACCCCAATTCAAGCCTAATGAACTTATGAACTTCTAACTTCTACATTCGATGCCGAAACCTATCAAATCAACTCCGATTGACCTCAAATTTTGCACACAAGTCATAAATGACACAACAGACCTATTCCAACTTCTAGAACCAAAACCCAAGCCCGGTAACTACAAAGTCAACTCTCGGTCAAACTTCTCAACTCTTCAAACTTTCATTTTTCCAACTTTCGCCATTTCAAACTAAAATCACCTATGGACCTCTAAATCACTATCCGGACACACTCATAAGTCCAAAATTACCAAACGGAGCTATATGAATCGTCAAAACTCCATTCCGGAGCCATTTACATATAAGTCAATATTTGGTTAACCCTTTCAACTTAGGCTTCCAACCTTGGGACTAAGTGTCCCAAGTTATTTTGAAACATCCCGAGAACCAAACCAACCACCCCGACAAGTCACATAATAACAATTGAGCATAGAATAAGCGGTTAATGAGGGAACGGGGTTATAATACTCAAAATAATCGATCGGGTCATTACATGTATTGGAGTCAACTGAGGACCTTGCAGATACAATTTTAATTGATTCTAGTTTCTGGCAAGAAGAGGAGGTCGATAACAAGTTGAATTTTTCGTTTGAGCACATTGGCCCTCACTCCAAGAAATTTTCGACATTGTGTTCGGAAGGATATATGGAAATTGATCTGTATGAGCCAAGACAAGAGTCAAAAGACGAGGTGGATGAGCCCTTATTCTGAAAATTTCAAGGTCGTCTAGGCAAGGTGACACTCCTCGGTTGAAATCCAAAAAGTACATAAAGAATCATTTAGTTTTTGGCTCGCAACATTTTGTATCGCCCCAAGAGAATGATCATAGAGCATAATCAAAACTTGGCGTCCAATTCATAAGTTCGAAGTGGAGGCAAAAAGTGATTCATATCATGCCACGACGTTAACTAAGGCATTTGTTGGGAGGCAGCCCGACTTTATTATTTTTAATTTTTGTTATATTATTTTTGTAGTATAGTTTATTTATTTATTTTGTAGGAGCATGGGACAGAGATATTGGAAGGATGCAACAGCAAGTCAGATAGTTAGAACTAAGTGTGGGATACCCGCACAAAGAAAAATACTCGAGAGAAGTCTGAGTACCCTATGTGCTGCTAGTGCATCGGCCTTTGGCCTTCTAGGGAGTTTCTTTTACCCTCTTATTAGTTATGGTGTGTACTGGAGACAATGCATAATTTTAAGTGTGGGGTGAGGAGATTGTCTTGATGACTTTCTATGCTATTTTAATTGTGTTAGTTTAATTGAATAATTTTGTTTTTAGCAAAATAGAAAATATTGGACTTTTCCCAATGATGGATCTTCTAGACAGTTTTCTTGAGGGTTTAAAGTCTAACCAAATCACAAAAAAAAATTGAAAAATAGAACAATCCAAAAACCATGTCTTTTAATTTTTACTTTACGTAGTAATAATCCCTCGCGATTTTTCTTTGTGCTTCGGTTCTTTTTCATGGGATGTAGTTTGAACCGGGTCATAGTTTTTAAAATTTTAGAGTAAATTAGGATTTAGGGAATAAAAGAAGGAAGATGAGATTTCTAGGCACCATTTTGACTTGTTTGATAGTGGCATATTTAGGCTCTAGCATTTGTATTACCTTTCCTATGGTTTGAAAATGCTTGTGAGGCCTTATTGAGTAGATAGCATGTTCATTGATGCCTATATCTCGTTTTCTCTGCTTGTGTCACTTTGTGCTTAATGCTTAATATTTTGTGGCTCCGTGAATACTTGCAATTGTTTGAGAATCGGAATGGAACCGTCCTTAGTGAGTCATGTGCCATATGTGGTGAGAAATTGTGTAGTCCGTGCCATTGCATTAGATTTTAGAACTTTCCCGGCATGTGAGTTGAAGCAAAATTTTAGGTTTAGCTCAGTTTGAAAAATGATTTTAGGCTTTCTTTGATCCTTTTGAGCTTAATGCCTACCACAAATATAAATTATCCCTAGTCAACCCTATAGACTTTTATTTGGCAACTATATTACAAGCCTATACCCTTTTGTTCTTATTTATCATTTTTTAATTATTTTACCTCTTAAAGCACTTTAATTGTAAAATGAGCACTAGAAGAATTAAGGAGGGAACTTAAGGAATTTTTAGTGGAACCAATGAAAGAAACAAAGGTGCACTTATATTGTAAGGAATACACCACTGGACGGAATGGTAGAGAAAAAATATATAATATGTAGCAAAAGAAAATAAGCATATCTTGTCCATGCTAGCGGGTATGAATCAAAGTAATTCTTAAAGAAAGAGAAAATATTTTTGGGGGTGATATTGTTTGTGAAATTAAAGTTGTGTTGAAGAAAAATGCGCTTAAAGTTAATTTTGTGATGTGTTAAAGTGCTTAGGAGGGTTAGTCACTATTTCTAATTTATCCTACCCGTCCATTAGCCCACATTATAACCATGAAAAAGTCCTAATTGATTTTAGATCGAGCATGCCTACATTAGTAGAGGCTTATATAATGGGCAAGCATATGGTACTTTTGTGCATGCATGTGACTTCCTTGTGAGAGTGAGGAATTTCTTGATCTATGTTAGTCCTTAAAATATATTTGAATATTTGATTTGAACGTGTGGATTCAACTTACTCTTTTGTTCTTGTTGTGAGGGCACATGATTTCGCGGGATGATATGTAACGTTATTAGATTTCTCTATGATGTTAAGTGTTCAAGTCATGAATGCATTGTGATATTGAGTCGGTTTGTGAAGCTAGGATTGTTATAAGTATGTTGTCTTGGTGTGGAATAAATTTTTGAAGTATGCCATAAAGTAAAGGGAAGTATATGTTAAAGGCATATGCTAAAATTTAATTGTTGCTATCAATCATAGTCATAGGAATGGTATGCTTCGGATGTGTTAAAAGAAAATAAAGTGCTCAAGGTTAGTGTGAATTGGTGGTTGACTCGAGGACGGGCAACGTTAAGTGTGGGGTAGTGATGTGTGACAAAAATACTATATTTTTAGTATATTACTCACGTTACATGTTGTTAGTTTAGTAGTTAATTGTGCGATGTTTGAGCTAAATTATATTGTTTTATGTGTATGAGCATCGGAAGATAAATACGAGTGAAAGTTGCACATAAACAGGACAAAAATACGAGAAAAGAGCACAAAAGCACGAAGTACTCAAGCCTGGCTACAGGCCAGGCGTAGCCAGTTTGGCCGTGCTACAGGCTAGGCATAGCCAGCTCTGTAGCCATCTTAGCTGCGCTACAAGCCTAGCCTCGCGAGGTCTATAGCTCGATGGTCAAAAGTCACGAATTAAAATACTCCGACCCGAATTTGGACTCAAGGACCTTAACCCTAGGCTATTAATATGCCCTAAACATATCTAAGGGAAGTGGGATGTTTTTAAGAGGAGATTCGACCTAAGAAGGAAAGAACACACTAGGAGCAAAGCAGATAATTCTTTTACGAGTTTTTCACTTCCGTCTTCCTATTTTTATTATTGGTTATGAATTATAGTATTGTAGTTTTGCATACTACTATGAATAGATAATTTTTTATTTAGGATTTTGATGGAACCTTTTGTAGGATGAAGTCTTATTACGTTTGTATATAATTGAGTCGTTGGATTTCTCTACTTGTTCAACTATGTGTTTATTGTTGTTGATTGAATGGCCATCAATTGACTGTGCCTATTTAGTATGTATTGCTTGGAAAAAGGTACATATTTAGGTAGTTATTGAACAACAACACTCCTAACGCATGTGAGGAATCAATATGGAGGGTTTAAAGGTGGAATTAGGAATAACGAAATCTTGGTGCGATCTTAGTGAGTGGTGAATTAGTGCCAGCTAGCGTGTTTGGAAGAATATGTCTCCCATTTCACGATCGGTAGAGAATATTTAGGCGAATTTATAGAAAACGTAGGGGGAAGAATTCTGACAATTGGGGAAATCATAACTCTAGACTTCCTTAGTATTGTCTCCAATTTCATCCTTGTTAGTTGATAAATTTACTGCTTTATAATATTTGTTAGTTAATTAGTAGAAATAAAAATCAAATCTTTATAACTAAAAAATTATTAGAACTTGTGTTTCTTTGCGATATTGAATAACTGTAGCTAAGTCTTAGTTCTCTGTGAGATTCGACTCCGGACTTGTAAACCGGATTATATTTGCAACGACCGCTAGACCTTTTAGGAGGCATAGTTGGGCGTTTTCAAGTTTGAAAGACAAAGATGTTGATTTTCAATATGATTTCACTATTGATGGATGTCAATGACTCGAACATGTCATCCGGATATTCGGAGACTCTATTCGTGCTTATGAAGTTTTTGGAGATGTAGTCGTCTTTGACACTACTTATCGATTGAATCGTTATGAAATACCATTAGGAGTTTGGATTGGTGTGGACAATCATGGCAATTCTATTTTTTTGGGTGTTCTCTTGCACAATGAGAAGACATCTTCTTTTTCTTGGGTTTTAAAGGTCAAAATTATTATAATATCTTGCTACAATAATTTCTTTTAAGCTTTACTACTACTATATGTTTATTTGCAGAGTGTCGTACGATTTACGAATGGAAAGCACCCACAAATCATATTAACATATCAAGATATTGGCTTAACAGAAGCTATTGCCAGTGAATTGCCGCACTCTAAACATGCCTTTTGTATATGGCTTATGACATGCAAGTTCTCTACTTGGTTTTATTTTGTCCTTGGTTCAAGATATTTACAATTTAAATATGAATTTCATAGACTTTATGAACTTGGTAACATGGAGGAACTTGAGCACCAATGGGATGAATTGATCTCTCAATTTGATCTTGGATCAAATAGGCATATAAAATTACTATATTTAAATCGTGCATCTTGGGCACCCCCATACTGGAATACTTTTTATCAAAACTCTACTTAACAAATTAGCTATTCATAATAGTAGGCAAAACTACAATATTAGAATTCATAACCAATAATGAAAATAGGAAGAAGGAAGTAAAAAAATTCGTAGAAGAATTCCCCGCCTTGTTCCTAGTGTGTTCTTGCTTCCTTAGATCAAAATCAAGGTCTAATCTCGACCCCCCTCAAAAACGGTGTTTAAGACTATTTATATGTGTAGGAAAAATGCGTAGGGAATGACAATGACCGGACACTCAAAATCTATTAATGCATATTTGAAAAGATCTTTACATGCCAGAACAAATTTAAAAGAATTTGTTAGAAGGTTGGTACTGCAGTTAGTATAAGAAACCATGCTGGGGAAGAGGCAACAATGCGGCAAAAGTATTACAATCCTCAAATTAAGACAGTCATGCCGATGGAGAAACATACATCAAAAGTTCTCACGCCTTCCGCCTCTAAGTTGTTACAAGATGAGATGATACTTTCTGTTGGGTATGGTCTATTTCCATATAGTGGTGGATCATATCTTGTGCGTTATTACAACAAAACAGATGGTGGACGTTTTGTGTATTGGAATTCAATAGAAGAGGTTATTAATGTTCTTGCCAAGAGTTTGAATTTTCACGAATTTTGTGCAGGTATTTTATTCGAGTACTTAGTGCTCATAACTATTTCATGTTGCCTGAGAAGTATTTATTGGCTAGATGGAGGCAACAAAATCCATTGGTTCTAAAGTTTACTCATATGATGAAACCCAGTAATGATAACAAAAAACATTACTGGGTGAAGTGAATTGCAGAGAGTGCTGCAAATTATTCAATGTTTCCTGAAAATGAGCATATGAGCAGGGGCGGATCTATGTGCACGGTTCGGGGTGGTACGCCACCCGCAAGATTCGGCAAAAATCTTATGTATATAGGTAAATATGTATAAGACATAGGATATATATTTAAAGTGCCACCCGTAGAACAAAAGTGGCAAAGGTGCCAGTGGCAAAGGTCTGCCTTTTGGTTCAGCAGGGCAAGAGTTCGAATCCAGGCGGGAGCAAATAAATTTTTGGCTTACATTCAGTTGCAATTTAAAGAAATTAAGTACACTACACAGCACATTCTTTTATATTTTATAGTAAATCTTTTTGTTTGTTTGTTTATTTAAGTATAAACAAATAAGATAAAATAATAATAAAAGTACTCTTTATAGAATATTCTCTTATAATTAAAGGTAAAACAATGCCCCAATTTCCCAAGTCCACTTTCCCCTTTCCCTTTCTCCAATTCTCGCTGCTTCAGCCTTCATTCACGCCTCTGCTTCTTGGTTCTCTGTTAGACTGTTACTGTAAGCATTTATTTTGCTTTACCTTTGCGGATGCTTGATGCTTCACACATTCATTGCTCACTAGTCATTGCACTACGCCCACCATTGTAAAGTTTCCTCAATCCTCACCTCCACATGTTTATTTCTTAACCCTGTGGCTATTTTTTTCCCATCAAATATATGTTCTTGCTATGTTTTTGTTTTGTATTTAGTTGGATATTAGTGTTCTTGCTAAATTTTATTGTCACTATTTTGATTTTTTTGTTATGTATTTCTTTGGTTGTGTTTGAAAATCAAATGCCTCTTAAATGGTTTCACTGTAGAATTTAAAAATAACTAAACTTATGGATGGTATGACCTGGTAGAAATTGTTCTATGTTTCTCACTGGAATGAACTTCTATTTTATAGGAATTGATTGAGATGGATAAATTTGTCACGAGGTTGGACCATTCTCAACCAAGTCCTAGTTGTCAATCCTTGATCCAAGCGAATGCCAATTATTCCTATCTTATAAATGAACTCGATTTGGGGTCACTTAAAGGCGGTCCAGGAGAAATAATATCTATTGGTGACTATAACCCTAGAATACGAGATGAAGTAAGGAAACATTACATTCAACAAGGTCCTTGTCAACCTTCCAAGCATCAATTTTCCAAAACTCAAATAGGAGGAAGAATGCGTCAATTTGTTCCAAGTTGGTTCAATGGTCAATTTTCTAAATGGTTGGAGTATAGTGTGAAGAAAGATGCGGCATTTTGCTTATGTTATTATTTGTTCAAAAATAAATTTATTCATGAAAATGCGGGTGAATTTTATACAAAAAATAGTTTTAGGGCTTGGAATAAGGGTCTTGAAAGATTGCGTTTACATGTTGGTGATGTTAATAGTGTCCATGATAAATATTTCAAGAAGATCCTAGATTTATCAAATCATCATCAATCAATTCAAGTTATTTTTGATAAGCACTCCGAGAAGTTGAAAAGTGAGTATCGAATGCGTTTAGAAGCATCAATTGATGTGGAAAGACTTCTATTGTTGTATGGATTGCCTTTTAGAGGCCATGACGAAAGTGAATCTTCAACAAATCAAGGCCTCTTTCTAGGATTCTTACGATGGCATGGGGACAAGCATCCGGATGTGGGAAAAGTAATATTAAAAAATACTCCACAAAATGATACTTTGACTTGCCCTATGATCCAAAAGGATATTATCAATGCTTGTGCAAAAGAAACATTAAAGGCTATAATTGAAGACTTGAATGGAGATTATTTTGGTATATTAGTTGATGAGCCCAAAGATATCTCACACAAAGAACAAATGGCTCTTGTTTTGCATTATGTTGATAAAAATGGTGAAGTGGTAGAGCGATTTATTGGTCTTGTCCATGTTAGTGATACATCGACATGCTCATTGAAGGAAGCAATCTACTCTTTGCTTCCGGACCACTTACTAAGTCCGTCTCAAATACGTGGACAAGGTTATGATGGAGCTAGTAACATGAGGGGAGAGATAAGTGGTGATTATGAAAGACAGTTCATCGGCATATTACATTCATTGCTTTGCTCATCAATTGCAATTAACACTTGTAGCTATGTCTAAAAAGCATTTGGATGTCGAAGACTTCTTTTGTCATGTTACTAATGTGTTGAATGTCATTGGAGTATCTTTTAAGCACAGAGATTTGCTTCGCCATCTTCAAGCTGAAAAACTGGAGCAATTACTTGAGTCCGGTGAAATTCATACCGGGCGAGGACTAAATCAAGAACGCGGGCTTCAAAGACCAGGTGATACTCGTTGGGAATCACATTTCAAAACATTAGATAACTTTATTGTTATTTTCTCATCTATTATTCGTGTGCTTGAAGTGATTGAACATGAAGGTTCTACCTCAAATGAGAGAAATCAAGCAAAATATCTTTTGAGTGAGATAATAACATTCAAATTTGTTTTTATCCTTCACTTGAAGTTGAAAGTTTTGGCAATGTCAAATGAGTTGAACAAGATCCTACAAAAGAGAGATTAAGATATTGTTAATGCCGTAGAATTTCTTAATATTACAAAGCAAAGATTGCAAGATATGAGGGAAACTGGATGGAAATCTTTGCTAGATGATGTTTCCTCATTTTGTCATATGCATGATATTATGATTCCCAAGATGCATGAATTCTATTTTCCTGGAAAGTCGAAGCGTAAGTCTTCTGGTATTTGTTATTCACACCACTTGCGTGTTGATATCTTTTATATTGTAATTGATGTGCAACTTCAAGAGCTTAATGACCGTTTTGATGTAGTGAATAGCGATTTGTTTCTTGGGATGGCTAGTTTGAATCCAGCCAATTCTTTTGCTAATTTTGATAAAGGTAGAATAATGACTTTAGCAAAATGTTACCCAAATGAGTTTGATGAAGTACACATTCGAGACTTGAGTTATCAACTAGATACTTTCATAATTCATATGCGAGTTGGCAATCCCAAGTTCTCCAACTTGCAAGGAATTAGTGATTTGGCAAAAGCATTGGTTGAGACAAATCTTGTGGAGACTTATTCGTATGTTTATTTACTTGTGAAGTTAACTCTGATTTTACCTGTTGCTACCGCAACTGTGGAGAGAGCATTCTCATCCATGAAGCAGATAAAGAATGAAGAGAGGAACAACATGGGTGATCAATATTTAAATGATTGTTTAATTTGTTACATAGAGCGTGATGTATTTACAAATGTAAGTAATGATGTCATTATTGATCGTTTTCAAAATATGAAAGCTCGTCGAGGACAATTGTAAATAGATTGTATATGATATTAAAAATATTGTTGAAAGTTTTATGCTTTGCGTCAATTAGTTATAATTATTATATTTTCTTTCGTTTGATATATTTGTCTATATACCCCGAAGTCCCGAATCGATGCTCGAGTTGATCACATCGATTAGGTCAGCACCCGTAACCCTTAAATCCTGGATCCGCCTCTGCATATGAGTGAAGAGAATGAACATGTTGCTTTTAGTCAATCTATAGAGAGCAATTCTTTAGATGAAGATTATCACATTGAAAATCCACAACAATCTCAGACAAAGTGAGGGAAAAAAAGGAAAAAAGGTTAGTTGGGGGCATTGAAGCTACAAATAAACTAAGATATTGCAAGGTTCCTAATTGTGGTGGAACTGGCCACGACTCAAGAAATTGTCCACTGAAAAGGAAAACTTTAGAAATCCCAGCAACTCAATCTCCTAACAAGTAAGTATTTGAGTTTCATTATATCTAATCTCTTGTAAAATAGAGATATTCATAATGTATACAAACTGAAATAAAAATTTTATTTTGGTTGCAGGATTCTAAAGGGATGGACAAAGAAACTCTAAGGAGATCTAACTATGAAATAGTCGTTTTGCTTACTAGAATCAGCCTTGTACATCTTAGTTTGTTGATCTTAAGTTGAATTGTGTAGAGATCCTCATTTTCTGTTTATGAACAAGAAATCAACCATTGTACATCATTTTTTGAATAGTGAAATCATTGCAACACGTAACATGCACTAAAATTTCAAGACCTACCAACGACTAGACCTCCAAATTGCAGTCAATTTAATTCGTTTACGTTTTAGGTGTAGGTGCCACCTAATTGTTTATTCTTTGCGTTTAAGTTCTATGAAAAGAAAATTACACAATCAAATTACTTCTTTTGTGAGTTGTTAAATACTGCTTACAAATAATTCTATTAATATCATTTTATATGATGCACTTTAAAAATAAAAATGAAAATATAATTTTGAAACTTTTGATTTATAACAAGCCATAAATATTTATATTGCATAACTATAAATCATCTAAAATAAGCAAAAACTTTCATATCTTTATGACACTTTAGGGGTCGTTTGGTAGCCGGTTAGAGATGAGTTATCCGTGTATTAAAATTATGATAACTTTATACATTGTTTGGTTAAAAGAAGAGGGGAAAATAATCTCCACATAGAAGCTAGTATAAGTTATACAATATTTGGTTATTTTTTCCTCTTTTTCACATAAAGTGTAGCATTGCTAATACAATGTTTGGTTCATATTTTTCTTTTCCGCATAACTAATACATGTATAAGTTATGAGGGAATCTATGTATTGTTTATGCAGGGTAGAAGGTGGAATAACTTATACATGTATTAGTAATACTTGTATTAAAATACAAAATGACAAGAATACCCTTTATTCAAACTTGTATTTTTTTGTTTAAAAATATATATTTAAACTATACTAACAATTTTAATAAAATAAAGTAAGGTAATAATAAATAACACTCACATTAAATTTATATTACTAATCCTTATATAACTACCGCATAACTAATCCTAACATAACTCAACCTTGCATAATTTATCCCTGCATAACTAATACATGCATAACTAATCCCTGC